GATCCATTAGGTCCGATATAAGTGGAAGTGGATAAGCGTCTTTAATCGTTCCTTCATTCGCATAGCGGTAGTCCTGGCATGGACGTAGCCCGCCGTCTTTCTTTCCTACAAAGAAGAAAGGGGATGCCATCGCGGATTGCGAAGGACGAATATATCCTTTCGCAAGATTTTCGTCGATAAAGGCATTCATAGCTTCTTCTTCTGGCTTTGATAGGTTATAGACCTTTCCTCGTCTAGGAACAAAGTCCGGCTTGAAGTCTATGTTGTGATCGTAAGATCTATGCGGTGGTAACCGTTCCGATGCCTTTTCTTCGAAAATTCGCTTATACTTAAGGAGGTACGATGGTATCGTTACTTTCTTCTTTGAGTTTTTCTTCTCCTCGAGTGCTCTCTTTTGCGCGAGTTCCTGCGCCTTGTTTGATGCCTTCCATAAGATTCCATCTTGCTTTCTTGTTTGATGGGGATCTTTCTTGGCATTCGTTCGTCGCAATGCAAGATACTGCATCTTCCTTTCTCCGGCCGAGCGATGTTCTTTTTCTTCGAGCGTAACTTCTTGGAGTATTCCAGTATCGGGTTGATAGGCGAAAATAGCTTCTTTTTCTCCTATTTCCTGATCCTCCAAGTATGGTGCGCCGTTTATGTATGCAAGCAAGAGGTCCGAGCCAACGGTTCCTGCTTCATCTGGTGTAGGATCGACATCAGACCAGTCGATCCTCCTTAAGGTTCGCTTGGCTTTGGCTTTCTCCTTTTTGGTGATTGGCAGACGAACAGCGTCTTTAGCTTTGAAAGGCCAGGGTTCTTCGTCTGGTACGTCTTCTACATATTGACGGACCTTGACTTCACCCGTTTGCCAATTGATAATTGGGTTGTGATCATGAAGCCAAGTATTGCCGATGATCACGTCTTCTTTTCCTAAGTCGATGACAAGGAAGTCATCATTCCATTCGTACGTTCCTGCGCGAACAGTTCCTTTGAATCGTTGGTTTGTGGAGTTGATGGGACTTCCATCGACACTGCGAATCTTGACTTCCTTCTGCGATTTGAGAAGGTGGAGTCCTGCTTTCTTCGCAAATGATTCATTGATGAACATTCCTTTTGCTCCAGAATCGACTAAGGCTCTTGCTGGAATACTTCGGATTTTTGTGCCATCGTAATCTTGAAAGACGATATTGAGGTATATTTCGCTTCCTCGTTTGATATCGCCTCGTATAATTACTTCCTCGGGGACCGTTTCTTCATCTGGATGCCACGAGATCCCAACGCGCACCCAATTCCAAAACCCTCTGGATCATCTTTTTCCATGGGTGGTGGATATCGGCGTGCATATTCATATCTGTCTGGATTATCTCCGAATTCCAGAAGATTGTCGAGATGAGGCATTGTCATGTTGCGTTTCTTAATACGGTCTCCGCGCATTTTAAGTGCATCCTCCCGTCGTATTCTAGCGAGCTCTTCTTTAGGGATGAATCTTCGCACCACATACTCTTCTTCTGAATCGCTGGATTCATCCTTGGTTCGCCTGATTTTGCGAACTGTTTTGGTTTTAACAGGGCGAGCTCTTCGTACCCTGTGAACAACCGTTTCTTGTTCGGATACTTCTTCAGATTCCGCTGATTCAGATTCTGATTCTTCCGATGATGAGGATTCTGATTCTTCCTGTTCCGACTCCTCCGAGTTATCCTCAGAGTCGCTTTCTTCGACTCTTTTTACTCGTCGGCGTTTCTTCTCCGTTCCCTTGGAGTAAGATTTAGTCGGCTTGGAAGTCTTTCTTCGTCTGCCAGATCCGGAGTATTTCTTCGTCCTGGAATTGGACGTCTGGGTCTTGGCATATGAAGCTGTCTTTCCTGAGCGATTTGGTGCCGGATCGTATTCTGCATTTGGACATTGTGCGGCGACGTGTCCTGGTTTTCCGCAGTTATAGCAGAGTCCATCCACAGAACGTTTCTTATGGGTTTCTGGGGAGATCCGGTCAACGTCCATTGCGTCAGGGTCCTTCTCCGTCCTTCTTCCGCTTCCTGAAGAGCCTGAGATGAACTTGAAGATATTTGTCCTTCCGCTATGAATGTCCTGGAGGTCTGTGACCTTTCTTGCGGCCTTGCATGCTGCTGCATAGGTCGTCGGTGGATTTTCCGTGATGAAGACTTTTTCTGCAAGTTTCTCATTAAGGCCTCGCTTGAAGTGGATGAGCTTGGCGTATTCGTCGTCGATTTCGGCATATCTGTAGAGGATATCGAGATTTCCGATATATTCGTCGACGGTTTGCTTGTCCTGCTTGTGCTTTCCTTCGAGAAGTACTTGCCAAGCTTGGTCCTTGGTTGCGACACCTCCATACTTTTCGGTAAGCGTCGTCTTGAAATCCTGGTACGTCCCAAGATTGCTGTGTTTTGCCATTTGGTTGGCTTCCCATGACTCGGCCCACTTTCCTGCCGTGGATGAGGAGTCGATTTGGGAGAGGACGAAGGCAATTTTGCTGAAGTCATCACTGTAGACTCCCGCATTTGCCTGTAGGTATCGTTCCACGTTTCGGAGGAACGATGCATATTCTCGTTTGTCTCCCCTAAACTCCTTGATTTTTCCCATCTTCTTTTCTCGTGCCACTGGCGGCTTGGGGATTGCTCCCTGGTATTGTGCATAGAGTGCCAATGCTTGTTGGTACTCGTTCCAGACGGCATCGGTGCAAGTTCCGGGATGGACTGGTGGTCCGAGAGCCGGGTCATATCGTGCATGTGTGGCCATACTTCCTGAGAACTGGAAGCTACCGGTTGGACTTGATCCGGTTGAAACCGAACGTGTGATTCCAGGCGCGTTGGGTAGATGGGGTGGCTGGTCCCTTCTGAGATGTGTGATTCCTGGATAATCTGGTCGAGTAGTACTGTCCGAGATAGATCTCTCGAGCGCGACTGCTCTTGTTCCGAGAGGATTAACTGGCTGTAATCCACCGGCTTCCTGTGAACGCCCTTCCTGTCGTTCAACTTGGATTGATTCTCCTCGTGGAAGTTCTGTTGCTTCGTCAAAGAGTCGTAGCGATTCTTCGTCAAAGTTTTCTCTTCCGCAAAGAACTTATCTGATTTCTTCGATCTCACCCTCAAGCTGCTCTAGCCTTGGGCGATCTGTTGGTTCGTAGGCTCGTCCTAGCCTAAATTGAAGTCGAAGTTGAACCGCTTCTGTCGACTTTTTGTCGTAGAGGTCTGTTAATTCCTCTGTGGTGGCGTCACTAAGCGTAAATGGTGGTACTTCTTCGTCAGAAGCCACCGGTCGTATTTCTGGGGTGGATTCCTCAGAGACTGGATCGTGTTCTCGGAAAGTAGTCGTTTTGAATCTTGTCTTGTCCTAAGATTCCTAGATTGCCTTCCCTGGGAAGGGCTTTAGCACGTCTTCAACGTGTGCCTCAGATGAGGGCTTCTCTTCTGGACTACCACACGGGTAATCGCTAGTGCTTGAGTTCGTTCCTGTAACAAAAACTCCGCACTCCTGCCTTTTGATCTTTGGTGGCCCTTAACCAATTGCGTACGTCTTTTGCCTGGTAACGT